AACACCAAGGAAGACCCCCCCAACCCTACACCTCCAGAGGAAACCCCAAAGAAGCGTAGACGACTGAAGAGGTACACCACCCCCAAGAGACGAACACTCAGCGGTGTCAGCCCGAAAAGCAAGCCAGCAACCGCTGCCAAATCCAAAGCATCCCCCATGATATCAAAGTCTGCCAAAAAGAAAAACTTTTTCAAGGACTGCCATAGCGTGATTGATCGAACTTATTTATTTAGAGAACACGTATTTTGCTATAGACGTATATAGACGTGCAGCCTGCCTTAAGAACTTTGCAGCTCTCATCTTTTTGGGGCAACGTGCGAGCAAACCATGCACACCGAACAAATTAATTTCTCTTAAGTTGCTCTTGCTCTCTAGAAAAAGATCATTAGTGTTGAAGCATATTGGCAGGAGAATTTTGCTGAGCTGCAGAACAACATCGAGCGCCTCCCATTCTTGAAGCTCCCAGAACACATGGGAATGTTTTGTCCTTGGATCAGTGTGATGTGCGCATTCTGGTGATCGATACGCACAGCTGTTTATTTCAAAATAGCTGGCAGTGATCTAGGTCGTTTACTATGAAACCTCCTCCTGAATGCCCGGAAGTTGATGGTGTGGACCGGAAGTGCAGCATTGGTATATTGTTGAAGTCTCAGAATATCTGATAGTCCGTCTTCTCTAGCTAAATTACCCAGCTTGCGTTCAAAGGCTTGACCGGAACGCCACCTTCTTCGTGTACCATGTGAAGAAAGAGCTCACCGAAATCATCGAGAAAACATTTGAGATCAAGGTGGAAGTGCACAATACTTCACAACTTCATAACTCATAGGAGCAGCATTGATTCCCCAAAAAGTAGATCGGTTGATCTCGTGCTCACACTCTTGTATATTATAATATCGATCTAAAACCATCTCATAGAATAACTGTTTGGGGGTGGCGGCGTGCTTGATTTCTTTCAGTACTAATTCTGGTCTCATGTCAGGTTGCAGCCTCTGGTGTGAACGTTTCTTGGAAGAAGCACGGAGGGGTGGCCCTGGCGTGCGGGACCCAAAATTTCATGCTTGGCACAGGCCAGGTTGCATCTTTGAGTCTCCAAAGGTGGCGCATTGCCATCAAGATTGCTGGATGGGTCCCGTTCGACTTCGAGGAGAAGGCATAGAGACCTAGTTTCGAGGTGCTTCCGGCCAATCTAGCTCAATTAACAACCAGTAAATCTGAAATGGTTTCAGCTCCTGGTGATTGCTGGAAGTGGCCATCTTTTTTTCAGATCCTGCGTGGCCAATTTCTTCTTTCACAAAAATCCAAACGGAATTTTAGCAGACCTTGTTCACCGTAAAAGTGCCGTCTGTGATTGCGCAAATTCAGTTTTGAGTCGAAAGGATAAAAACTTAAAACAACACGCTGGTGAATGATAGCGGCCGGGAGTCATCACACACACCCACTTCGCAGTCGGCCAGCTCTTCCTTGGCTCCATTCTTGTGGTTAGCATAGGCTTCGAGGTCCTCGGCAAAGGATGGAATCACCCCTGGCGCTTTCACCGAATAGCGCCATGTTGCTTCTATTGCTGGGATGTCCACCGCTTTTGTTACTTGACTTGCCCACTAAGTTATCATGTCGATCTATCGATCTAGTGAATTAATAATACTATGGTTTCCGGCCCAGGCTCCATCTATGTGATTACGTCTGTCAACGCACGACGGATGCAGGAGCCCAATGCCGGGCCGGCTGCTTAGGGTAGAGGGTCTTGAACAAATCTCGAGCAAGGGGAGGAAGGAGCCTTAAGCTTAAAGTGCAAAAAAATACTTCAAACCTATAGTCCTAGCAAACCCTCGTGAGGGTGGGCGCAGAAAGGTTTGGTGGGTCCACTTTTGGGCAACGAGAAGGTAAGGATTGTGGAGCAACTACATGCGCGCCGCGCCCAAGGATTGCCACTGCTATGATGTCTTTTCCGGGAAGGGCCAGTTGGCCCGTGCTTTTCGTTTTCTCCTGAGAATTCCTGAGATTTACTTCCAAAGGCAATTCCAGCAGGTTTCCAAAAAACAAATTCAGAGGTCAGACAAATTCACCCAATCCAAGTGGAAATTAGGCACATTGATCACAACTTGTCTAATTCAGGCCAATGGCGCATCCGCACGTCGCCAACTTAGCTCAGCAAGAGCTCCAGTTGCACTTGCAAAGATCATGCCCTGGGCTTCATATTAAGGTGAGGTTGGCAATTTTCCCTTTGGCGTGGGTCATGAAATCTGGCCCTCAAGTCCTGATTGGCCCCTCCAAAGTATTGAATTGTGATGTGGGAATTGAGGGGCCAGATTTCATTACCCGCGCCAAAGGGAGAATTGCCTAGGGAGGTGACCGCAAATGAGTTTCTATGGAGTAGAGACAGTGCTCGGCCAAGGCTGACCTATGATATTGAAGATCACCCGATGAGCAACAACATCTTGACTGTGTGCGGGCCTTGTTCCCATCTGAAGTTGGGGAACCGAAGAGTGTTGTTCAAACCTACCTTGTCATGAGCCCTAAAAGACTACAAGTTTTGGTGCTGCCCTTTTAGCCTGGTTCTATGTTTAAATGGCTTTTTGGGAGGAGAAGGCACCACCAAAATGTGTCTTGTAAAATAGAGTCTGTTGGCTCCTGCGGGTTTCGATGTCATGGGACTTATTTGCACACACCGGGCTTAGGAGTGGCATGCTACTTTGCATCAGGAATGTCCTGAAACTTGCGGAGAACGCAGTGATGCACTGCGGGCCGCCGTGTTCGACCTTTGTGTGGGGAAATAGAGGGACTAGTCGTCGAAGCAGGAAGGTGCCACTAGGCCGGCACAAGACTTGCAAGTCAGTGGCTGAGGCAAACCGGCTACTTGCATGCATGCAGAATCATGCAGACCATAAACCCGTTCTAGCGTCGTCGACCCCACCTGAACTCCATCATGTTCGATAACTTTCCGAGGATAACTGCTCGCATGCTACTTTGCGCTATGTTGGCCATGGCCCGCTGTTGCTACATTTGCATCGAACAGCCACGAAGTTCTTTGATGCCCTGGTTTCCATTGTTGCGCCGACTGTGCGAGAACTTGCAGAAGCACACCAAGCTATCGTGGGAATCAATTGGCTTGCCAGGCTCTTACATTGCAGTTCACACATTGAATACTCTGGAAGTTTGCCCTTTGCAAGTCTTTGTGCGAAAGAAGTTTCCCCTAAAAATACAGCGTCTTTCTTTTACGCGGTGCTGAGTTGGATGGGCAGCTGGGGGCATCCGACGCCAAAAGGTTCAATCCTATTTGGGACATGGCCCGGCCCTGACTACCAGATGCAATTCACCTGGTCCAGGTTATGAGTTATGACTGAAAAATCCAGAGGAACTTTGAAATCAATTTAATACATCTTGCAAACTTAGCTAACGTCATAATCTAATGACATCTCTATCCCGCGGTCTTGTTTCGACTGAGCCCACCCTGATCAACTCAAGTCTCGTTGCCCCATCGCCACTGAGTCAATGGATGTGGCACCTTCGCAAGCGCCTGAGCCGCAAAGCGCAGCGCAAGCTCAAAGAAAAGAACAAGCGGTATGAGATGAGCCGCCGGTACAAGGACTGGTGGGGCAGGTGGAGCTGTCGCAGCATAGCGGGTTTGAGATTTAGAATCAAACAAGTGACTTTCGATTTTGTTTGCCAGTTTAGCTACTTTACTCCACCTGGCATGCATGCACCTGTCCACTTGGTTCCTCAATCCTCTGACAGCCTGGAGTGTGTTTTTTTTGTCTTAATCAGCCTACGCACCAAAAGCTGTAAAAGTCGACGTCAACTATGTCTACGACCCAAATTGCACATGCAACCCGACCTCCACTGTCCTATAGGACAAGTCAGGCAAAATGCGTGTGCCGTGAACCCAGTTTTGCAATCAGTCTCTCGAGCCAAACCGACATGAAGTTACAAGTTTTTGAAACGTGAGCTATCGAGGCAGGGAGGGAAGGATATGAAAAAGTCGGCTGCCTATCCATTGAAGTATGGACAACGTGTTCGAGACCTCCATACCAGCTTTGTGGTCTCTCAGCTGTTCTAAAAAACAACATTGGATTTGGGATAAACAAATCAAGGCTTGCGTGCACAGCTTCAGATTAGGCTGACAACCCGAGCTTTTTGAGGGAGAAGCTCTATGGCCACATTCCAGGTGCACAAAACCAAGATATCAAGAAATTGCTTGCGGAGCCACGCATGCACATTTATTTCACACCCGGTTATTTAGATCGAGCTCTCATGACTTATGCCCTCATATTTGGCCACACCGTGGCACGACCTCGACCGGCCGAGGATGCACCCAAAATCGACTGGAGCCTGGCGAACTTGGAGCCGCTGAGAGAATTCCTCAAGGAGGAGTGCAGGAAGGGAAAGTTTCATCCCACCTTTCGAGGAGGGCTGTAGATTAATGACTGCATCCCTTGTTTTGGCGCTTTTAGCCACAGTGTAAGAAGTTCTTATACCACGTCTTGGAATATCTTGGAATAGAAGCTGTTCAAGGGTGAGGTGGCTCATGCACATGTGGTTGCGCCACTAAACTTAATGAAATTAGCTTCTAATTTGCAACAGAGCGTGATCTGACCGTGACGTGAGCGTGAAAATCACAAACTTTGGCGTGAAATGGTAAACTTTGGCGTGATATGTAGAAACTTTGGCACCGTGACTGAACCGTGATGGGAGCGTGATAATCACAAACTTTGGCGTGCAAATCACGAACTTTGGCGTGATCCCACCCTAGCCCCTGAAAACTATGTAGTTACACCCTTTTGCGCGCCATTGTGGTGATTTGGTACACTATGGTACACCGATTCGCTTCCACACTGCCAACGGGCCTGTCTTCCAACATTTTTGGTGGCTCAGCGCCATGGCACATCAATGAAAACAGGCAACAAGGTGTTAACGTCAGCACTTTCAATCTTTTACAGTTATAATCACGTAAGTTCCAACGACTGGAGACTCGCCGCGCAACTTCCAGGTCAAGTTGCCAAGCCATGTCGCACGACAAAGAGGCTCAGATCCAGCAGCTTCTTGTGAAGGCAGCAATGCGAAGGATGAAGGCCGCTGTTCCTCCAAAGGAGTCGAAAGGCAGGGACCAACGGGATTTGAAGAGTGTGGCTTCCGAGTCCTCCGCACAAGATCTCACATGAGTTTTTGTAGATTGCAGAGCCGATCGAAACTGAATCTGTCAAAAGCAAACTTGCGACCAAAAAGATGGTTTCTGTTTCTATCGATCGTGACCAACCTTCATTCAGTGATCGCAGGTGAAAATGACACCTTCATCGAATTGGACCTGGAGGACTCTCAAGTCACAATCCCAGGGGGAGATGAAGAAGCGCAAGCAATGGCTAGCGCTGCATATCGAGAACTCAAGGCCATGGAGGAGGCAAATCCTCAAGGCCGACCTGTGGCAACACCTTTGACTGTCTCTGCGGTTCAACCAGCGATGGAGCGCAGGGACACTCTGGCCTATGTGGAGGATACGGAGGGGTTGCAGCGTCTTGGGCACATCCCTTCAAAAGAAAGTTTGGAAGAGCCAAAGAAAGGAAGAAAGAGGAAGGGAACAGAAGCAAAAGAGAAGGAGGTGGAGAAGAGGGGAAAGCAAGAAGAAGCAAACGGGCAGGGGCAGGCTGCTGCGACATCATCAGCTGAAGCAGGGAAGGTGGAGGCAGCAGCTGCAAATGAAGACAAGTTTGAGACCCAGGAGAGCCAAATGTCGGTTGGAGCAATATTGAATCGCCCATCAAGCCAAGAGTTTATGGACTTTACGAGCGGTGGTATGGATATCGAAGACTTTGAGAAGATGTTTGAGGAGTCTGAGTCCGGGAAGGGCAAGAAGGATGACGAGAAGAAAGCAGGCAAGACGACCGGCAAGCAGGAGGCTGAGCAGAAAGAGGATGAGAAGAGCAGCAAGGAGGCTGAGGGCAAGGAAGAGAGAAACAAGACCAGCAGGACGGCTCAGAAGAAGGAAGAGGAAACGAAGGCCAGAAAGAAGGCTCAGAAGGAAGAGGAAAAGAAGACCAACGAGAAGGCTAAGGAGAAGGAGGAAAAGAAGACCAGCAAGAAGGCTCAGAAGAAGGAAGTTGAAAATATGACCAACGAGAAGGCTGAGGAGAAGGATGAAAAGAATACCAGCAAGAAGGACAATAAGAAGGAAGTGGAAAATAACACCAATGAGAAGGCTGAGGAGAAGGAGGAAAAGAAGACCTCGAAGGCTCAGAAGAAGGAAGAGGAAAAGGCGACCAACGAGAAGATTTCGAAGAAATCGGACGAGAAGCCTGAGGACAAGAAAGCTGGCGAGATCCACAAGGTCAAGGCTGAGGATGCTGAAAAGACAGGTGAGGGCGAAGAGGATCAAGCTAAACTCCGTATGAAAGCTGCCCATGCCCGAAGGATGCGCTTTTTCCGGAGCCTGACCAGTCTGCAGCTCACTTGTCTTTGCAATCTTGTCCGGTGCAATGTTCACCCGATTTGTTTCATTGCATATTGGATCATTTCCATGGCCGAGGTGTGAACTCCCCTCCGGAAGTGCGTCATTTGGCAGAGAAAGCAAGACAAGGTGGACGTACCTTGAAAAGATTACTAGTAATATTTGGGTTTCGACTTTTTGTTCACGTATATCGGTTCAATTCACCCTCAACCGGTCAATCTGGCCTTGCTAGCAGGCGCGGAGAAAACGCAGAAGCTCCAGGTGCTATACGAACAATGGATTGGAGCGACTGAGAAATGGTCCGCGTCACAACTAGTGGTTCGCATGAGGAATCGGAAGCTTTCAAAGAAGGTTGGAGGACGACGGTTCATGACTGAGCGCGAGATCATTCAAAGATACGGAGAGGAAGTTGCAGCAGACATTATCGCCAACAAGGAGTCGAAGCACAAGGAAGACCCAGAGGCGGGCCTGGTGAAGGCCCATCCAGAGTCTGAGAAGCTAAAGTTGTACCTTTGCTGGGACCAAGAATATGAACAAGAGGAGGAAGACAACCTCATCGAAATGATGTACGAGGATTTTGATGGGGATATGGATGATTTTGGCAACAAGACAGAGTCCAGCGACAAGGGCAAGGGCAAGCGGGTAGCCAAGAGTCCTGCCAAAAAGGATAGCGGAAAGAGAAAGAAATCGTCATCTTCCTCATCTGGACCACCGTCATCAAGCTCAGCAGGAAGTTCGTCAGATGCATCAAGCTCTTCTGACAGTGACTCAAGCTCTTCTACAGATTCCTCGGAGAGCGACAAGAAGAAGAAAAAGAAGAAAGCGCGCAAGGCAAATAAGAAGGACCGCAAAAAGAATTCAAAGAAGGACAAGAAGCAAGCGAAGAAGAATAAGAAGGGAGTGAAAAAGGAGAAGGATGCAAAATCGAAAAAGAAAAACAAGAAGGCTGAGAAGGAGAAGGAAGAGAAAGAAAAGGAAAAGGAGAGGGTGAGAGCTGAGAAGGAAGCAGAGAAGGAGGAGAAGAAGAAGGAAGAAAAAAGAAAGCAAGAGATTCGATCCAAGTGCAAGAAGGCTAGTTGGGGCACCCATGTCTATCGATATTATTCACAAGTTCGGATTCTCTAACTAACATCAGTTTACCGAGACATACTCCAAGGTTTTGACAGCGACAGCATCCCAGATTTTGGAACCGTTCAACGTTGAATTGTTCATCCAAACCCGCCCAGTCCTTGGCCCAATGCACGGGCTGCATTGCCGACATTGCCAAGCGTGAATCGAAGGCAGAGTCATTGCCACTCGCCTTGCAGTGTGCAAGCCCGGTTCAGAATCACAGTCACAACGTGTCAAAACTCTATCTAGTGGACTCAACACGCCGCCAAACCAAAGTTGAGACGTTGATTTCTCAAAGAAAAGACTCGAGATCGATTTGGTTCTGTAACTAACGTGAGCCCCAATTAGGCTCTCATGCACGTTTTATCGAATGAATTGTCCAATCCTCCATATTTCATATTCAATATGGGTGGCCACCAATCCAGTTAAAACACTGAACTTCGAGGTTTGCGCATGAAGTTTTTTAGATTTGACGAACTCAATAGGCGACCAAGCATCCGCTGGCAAGGTCACCAGCCATCAAGGCTGCGATCCCGGAATGCCTGAACCAGCACAAGCAGACTTTAAAGAAGTCCCGGGAGGCTTGCCAAGCAGTTCTTGACGCTGATGAGGCGGGCTCAATCCCCAATCTTGAAAGGAGCTTCAAAGGTCCCCGTCAAGATACCGATCTCTAAAGTTTGCCGGAATTTGAAACCGTTGATTTGAAGGGGGTATATGTCTATTCTAGTATTTGGATCGCTCACTCTGCATTCCAACATTGACGACGCACATCCCATGCTTTCCACAATTCAATCTTCAAAGTTTAGGGGGCATGTGATGGTTTTGTGCCGCCCAGTTGGAGAAGATGGGCTCCGTGGGCGCTGCTGCCGAGGAGACTGTAAAGAAGTTCAAGGATGCTAGGGCAAAACTCTGAGTTGCCTAGCGACTAGTGGCGGACCTGAGTGTTTCGGGGGCCAAAGATCGCTGGGGATCTTTGCCCCCGTGTTTGGCGCTTGGGCTGATCACCCCCAGGGTAGTGCTGAGCCTTTTTGGGTTTGACATGGGACCTGAACTTTGAAGGCTTCCGGGAGAAGTGATCGCTTTTGTGGGCATGCTGACACGCATGCGTTCTTTGCAATCTAGCTAGCCCGGCTATGAAATTGGCCGGGACCGGGTTTCAGACCTCTCAGACCTCTGAGCCGATGGTATGTGTGAAAATAGTTGTGAAATTAGCTTAGCTTGTGCAAAGTATCGATCATCCTCGATCTATAATTTATATTGGCTGGAATCCTGCACCCCCACAGAACCGGAGCACCGAGCCTTCCACACAGAGAAGGTTATTGACGATGTGGTGGAAGGCGCGCCTTGGCCAGAACCGAGGCTTGCTGCGTGCATGCATGCATGCATGCACATGATTCAACCGGGAAAGTGGACGTGCTTCCGTTTCCGAAGAATCGGTTTAGAACGTGCTTCAGCTTAGTGTGCAATACCATCACATGAGGTTAGCAGTATGCGCCAAGCAATGCACAGTATTCAATCACATGTGAAAGATGCTTGGATTCATTCTTGTGTGTGTGTGCATGTGTGCAGTCGGTTTTTTGTCTATCATTTCATTTAATTTTTGAGTGGAATTTTCGAGAACAGGAAAGTGGACCTGCAGCAGTTCACCCTTGGAACCATAAGCTGGGTTCTTTTTCAAAGTGGAACCTGGCACGGGATTTCACTAGGTTTTGCAAAGTGCCTCTCGAAACTTGGGGGCAACAGGTGAACATGTTGTGCATATATACGCGCACGACTGTGAACGTAGACTCATAGCGTGACCGACTGAGGACACGATACCGATCAAAGCGCGCATTAAGGACCGGAAGTCCGACACTGGATACACCGTAGACACTTTACAAGTGCTCTGCCCACTGTCTTTTGTGCGATACTTGTGGAACGATATAGGCGTGAATGTCTCTCCTGACACAGTCAAGGAATTTTGGAGGCACAACCGATCTGTTGGAGCACCTTGGGCGGTATGCCACCCAGCCACCGACGAACATGTGCCATTGGCAGTGTACGGAGACAGTTGCAAAGTCAGATCGATTAGCTATCAAGCACCCGAGAAGATTGTGGGTGTGTTTCTGTCGTGCCCATTGTGGAAACCGCGCAGTGTTCGAGCAAGCCGCTGGTTGTTATTCTCTATTGAGGAATCACGGCTGTACCAACACCAAACGATAGATCGAGTTCTCGCATATGTCACTTGGGCATTGAACTGCTTGTTCACAGGCCGATGGCCGCATTGTGGTATGAACGGAGAAGAGTTCGAACACGGCAGTCCACAGGCACAGCGAGCAGGCCAATGGATCATCAGTGACCGCAGATTGCAGTTTGCCCTTACAGAACTTCGAGGTGATTGGCTGTGGTACCAGGGCTTGTTCCGACTGAGATCCAGTTGGAAATCTGGGACCAATTTTCCTCTCTGCTATTTATGCCCCGCTATGAGTCGAGGGCCTGACCGCTACTACGATGTGAAAGAGGGAAGCGTCCTTTGGACCAAAGAGCTTTCTTTTCCCGAATTTCTAGTCAAGCAAATACCGCAGAACAAGGCCTCACCCCTACTCGCAGCCAAAGGTTTTCACCACACTATGTTGCGCCACTGTTCGATGCATGTCCTAAACCTTGGACTCTTATATGGAGCCAACGGATCCTGCTTGAACCTTTGCTAAATCTGCTAAGTGTTGGGTTGTTTGCGAGTATTGCTTACACTTGCCTCTTGTTTCAGTTTGCGCGGCACTGCTGTTTTGATTTTGAGGATGTGCCTCATTGAAGATGGCTTTTTCCTGCCTGTTGGGAATGATTCCCTCCAGAGCCGCCTGGATGTTGCATATCAAGATTTCCGGGCATGGTGCCACGCCAACCGCATCAACTGCTCACAGCCACCTTTCACTGTCAAACTGGAACCTTGTTGGCGTTAATGGATTTACTTTCCTGGTCACCAAATTTGGGCAAACCAGCTGTAGTTTGTCCAATTACTCGTCTCTTGAAACTCACATCATTTTAAGGTCCTGAAGAAGGGCCAGGAAGTGCTTCTCACAGCGAAGGCATACAACAACAGGGTCATTTGCTCATGGCTTGCACATGTCTTGGACCGAGCGCAGAGCATTCCTGGCTGTGACGATCGAATCCCTTGTATGTTCACTGCCATGATGCTTGGCTGCAATGTGCATTTCAAGCGTCCTGCACGCCGTAACATCCGCGCTGGACCCTATCGATGTGTCGAGTCAGGAACGCCATGTCACGCTTCTTCCTCCTATCAGAGACCTATCCGCGGTTTTTGATTCTCACTATGCATTATTGGTGTGTGCATTATATGCGTGTGTCTGCATAAGTGGCATGTCTGCAGCTCAAGAGTACTGAGGACGCAGGATCAAGCGAATGCGCTGCATCGTGAAGGTCAGTTGTTTTGCCGTTTGCGCCTGCTTTTGAACCGCATGTCTGCAACGTGCCGTGGGTTGGGTATCAAATCAGTTTGAAATGATCGACGCGCTCCGTTGTGCACTTCTTTGCAAGACACAACTGTTTCAGCCGGCAAAGGCGAACGAAGCCCCATTGGATTATTCGTCCGAAACTGCACGCATTTGGGTTGCAATTCCAGGATGTAGTCATGTGGTGAACTTACACTTACTTGTTTCCTTCCCATCCAACTCCCATCCACATTAACATCTGCGCGCGTGCGCAGCTGCAGGCTTTTGGTCACATCCTCAAGAAGATCCTGTTGTATAGCAGCTCCCCAAAAATTCAACAAGTGCAAGTTGAGAGTGTGGGTGCATGAGTTCCTGCACAGTCTGCCTGCCTAGGATGCAACGCCCGATTTGAGCATACTTTCATCGATGAGGATGGAATGGGTTGGCTCCGTCGTACTTTGGCTCAAGAGCAATATGACACAGCATGCACATACACGTGCGCACGCGTTGTGCCGATTGACCGGTCGGACCTCGTTTGTCCAAGGCACAGCTTTACGAGCGCATCCGCAGCACCAGCGACGCCATACTCTGCGAGCTTCGATGATAAGGATGTGGTCTCTTAAATGGAAGATCCGTGGGCATCTTGGCTCACTTTGAGGGGGGAATCATACCTTCTTGATAAGGTGGCCCCATGTTTGTGTAGTGCGCAGGATGCGTGCTGGATGTGGGGGTGTGAATGAGGTCCATTTAGTGAAGATGCTAGAAATATCTCTACAAATAAAGGGAGTTGTGCAGGGACGGTACCAAATTCAGCTGAGGCTGAATCACTCGGCTGCTAGCAGGGCAAAGCGGTGAACTCGTCAGCCCAGCTACTGAAAAAGAGAGCCCGTGATTTCTCAAGGGAGTGATGGGCGTGATTGGGGTTCAACAGATTTGAGCAAAGCGTGATTGGCCAATGTTTGCTACTTATCGGAAAGACTATACTTTGACATGTCTTTGGAAACTCAGGGTATATTGAAGGAGGAATATAATTTACATTCATATTTCATTATAAGATATTTAAGAAGATATTATTGAATAGATCTATATTTATGATGGGATCGGTAAAAATATATTGGATGATTACAAATATTAAATAATCATTTAGATTAATATATTTGGAGAGGATACTATTGAAAATATGATTTTTGGATATTATTGGTAATCGAATATTATTATGAATATTTGGCAAGGAGATTAATTAGGCTTTGTTCCGGAATGAAATAATAGGTACGATCTTTTCGTCAAAGGGTATGAATATTTGGGATGGTAAGGATATATTTATCGAGAAGATTGATTTGCATTCGCCGCTTGGATATAGATGTTATAGAAGCAACCGACCCATTGTGGTTGTAGCCCAACACGGGCGGAAGAGCCTCTCGATTGGAAAATAATGAATTAAATATATATATATATATCTTATAATATTTTTTATCAAATAAATATTCATTTCAATAAAAAGAAATATGATATATATATTTATGAAAAAGAATTATATTTAAATTTATATCTTTGGATAATTAAATAAATAATCGATATTATATAGTAATATATATATAATATAATATATTGTTTATAAATATATAATATTGAAATATCTATGAATTTGATATTATTTTATATATATTATTAATGGATTTTTTAATCAACAACACCTAAAAAATATTTATGATTTATTTTATAAATCCTATATTTAATATTCATTCGAATATCACTAATCGATGCAACCGCCAACAAATCAAATTATCATATTTCATGCATAATTCCGGATGAATTATTTAATAAAAGGATTTAGAAATAACAATAATTCATTACGATAATTATTCAATCTGCAATCGAATAATTAGAAATCATATCATTATTAAAATAATCTATTAAATTCTAAAAATATATTAAAATCACGATGAACTAATTTATATTAATATAACATCATTCTTAGGAATAACTATATTCTTTAAAATATTGTAATAATAATATAATCAAATAAATCGATAAAATCGAAAATATATTTTTAAATTCTATAATATTATAATATTACCATCCATAAATAAAATCTAAATAATTAATTATTGTTATTTAATAGATTTTAATATAAATAAATATAAATATCATTAAACATCAATCATTTACAATCAAATTTATATTCCCATATATAATTTAAAATATATCATATATATATATTAAATCAATAAATATATTTCCAAAATAAATATAATCAAATTATATTTAAATTATATAAAGTATAATTCATAATATATATATTTTTTTTCATTCATTATCCAATAAATTTCCATTTGCCCGTATTAGAACCTAAATCCATTATAATTTCTAGTCACCTCTACGACGACTAACCTCGATCTAAAATCAAATTATATTTACCAATCCTCTAAACTCGACAGTGATCAGCAAACGAAGTCTGACACCTGGATTTTCTGCAAACCTGAAAGGTCGTAGCGCAACTACCGGTACTCAAGGGCCCTCGTGAGATGAATGGCCATCGAAAATGCAAACATCAAGCATGTTTCATGCGAAAGTGTAAGCTGAAGTCAGACCGGTGGAGCATCTAAAATGAAGAATTGCAAATGGCTGTGCTCAGCGATCCAACCAGCGAAAAACATTCAAAAGTTCGGCCCTCTAGCTTCGAAGTGCATCTTCGTAAACATTCACAAAGCTATACGCTCCTTCAACACCTCGCCCTAACAGACTCATTTGGTTCGTTTCGTGATCGTAGTGAATCTGCGTCTGCTGCATGCGATCTTGAATTTCACCTCTTCGAAAGCGTTCTTTCTCTTCGGAGTGAGGATCACCAGGGCTGTGAGCTCGTGTCACGGAGGTTGGAGAAGTGTGGAGCATGTGTTTCAATTCTGCAATCTTCAGGTCTTTCTTTTTCACGTCCATGTGAATTTCCAGGATCATGGAAAGCTGGTCGTTCAAAAAACGATGCCACTTCTTGACCTGAAGGTCTGTTGCGCTTTCACTTCCATTCCTCAAATTCAACTCCAGAAAGAGTCGCCGGCGCACCGTCGGTATGACGTGTTCCACGACATGACCGCGCATAGAAGGTGTCACCTTCTCTGTCCAGAGCATCTTCATGAGCTCATTCCATTTCTTTTGACCCTTCTCTTCAAGGACCTCCTCGTAGAGTCTCTTCCATCGAGCTTGTTCTCCGGTGGAGCATTCAATGATGCCCTCATTTTCTTCTGAGGTCTCCTCATTCTCAGTCATGTCGTCATTCTCATTCGCGCCATGGCTCAAACCTACGGATGGTTCGTCCAAATTCTCAATCACCTGCTTATTCTCACAAATCTTGACATATGCAAAAATCGCAAAGGTCTTGACCTTCTGGGTGATCATGACAAAGACGTCTTTCAAAACCCAAAATGAACTGAATGCACCAATCATCGCAAAAAGGATGATGACAGCAAAGGTGTTCAAAAATTGGGTCTCTCCTTCATTCTCCATATCGTTTGCGGCTTCTGCTACCTCCATGTTCTCTGCGGCCAAAATGGACATGGCACACACCGCAGCCTTCTGCCACTCGTCTCCACTTCGTCCCAAGCGAAACTGGTGAAGGTAAAAGTGTCTTCTCGAGCAGAAAGCATGTCGGGCACTTGTCTTGTCGACTTCCTTCTTGCATCCCGGCAAACGACACAATCCTGCTGCTTCCTTCTCTTTGGCATCTTCTGTGAAAAAGACTTGTCCATCAAACAGGTTCTCAGCTGCTTTCTCTAGCTCTTTCTCCTCTTGCCAGCGAGCTTCATGAGTCACCTTCTTCGCAGCCACGAAGCCTGGGTCGAACTTGAGGGAGTGCACACCACGCGAAAGGACATGGGCTAAATGGTCCTTAGCTGCACCTTTGGTCAGGCCATCGGCCAACTGCTGCAGGGAATTGCACCATTTGACTTTCGACAAAGAAGCTTCAAGTCTCTCTCTCAAAATGCAAATCTCTATGGCAGTTCGACGTTCTGAAAGCTTCAAACCAGAAGTGACTGCTGTTGTGCTGTCAAAAAGGGCTTTGGCGTCAGTGATCACTGCGGAACCCCCAAACTTGTGCATGGTTGCATCATCTTGGATAGGAACATAGGGGTTCACCATGGCAGCGAAAAACACTTTTGACCACTCCAACTCGTCCACGGCAATCGTTGCAGATTGCGCTTCGGCAGACAATGAACTCCGGCACATGCGAACCAACTTTTTGCTCGACCAATCCAGAATGGTCAAAGGGAAGGGCTCGCATGACTCCAACTCTGCTTGGCTTGAAAGGAACATCAACATGCCACCTTGTGAGCTCCCATCCGGCCTCACAGACCAAGCAGCGTCGCAATACAAGCTAATCCTCAATTGATCCAAGGGACAATGCTTGCGCAAGGTGAAGACATAACTCTTGACGATTTCCTTCAGGAACCTCAAGCACTTATTGGCTTCCAACATATCTTTCACCATGGGCTTGTTGATGTTGGCCTGAAGAAGACTGATGGTAGCCGATGCTTGTGGCAAGCATTGAGTCACCGGCCAAGACATAGCTCCAACCAATGCTCGAAGCTGCTTGTGTTCCTTTTCCGTGCAGTAGTCTTCAACCATGACTTTTCTTGTTTTCTCCAAACTCAAAGGCTTGATCTTGTTCACATACTGCTGGAGAGAAATCGTCACAGTCTCATGGTCTGCTGTTTGTTTCACCTCGGCACCACAGAAGCGCATCTTGTCTCCAAAGTCCCAACTTCCGAACCGGAACCGTGTGGACAAATGATGCATGCGATGCTGAAAACAAGCACACTCACCTGCAGGGTCATTCTGGATGTCTTGGAGGGCATGGATTTGTTCGCCAGCGCCAATGA